GAAGGGACCGGCACAATTCCTGCTCTTTCATTGCTAATGACAAAACAATCTGTTCTTTAAAAAACAACAACCCTATATTTTCTTACAGAGAATGGCGCGGGAGACTTACCAGAACAGAAGCCGGGTGAAGAGAGGCAGCTGAAAGATTTATTGATCAATAAACCAGACAATTACAGCTTGTTTATAAAAGGGAAAAAAAAACCAACCCCAACCAAACCTCAGGCCTGCGAGCAACACCGAGACTCTAATAATGATAACTCTGGCATCCAGCTCCAAACGATAAAAGTCAATAGGAAGATATAGGATTTCAATAAAATTATGACACGAGATAAACTTTACCCCAGGAACAAATTTTCCCTGGGTGTGTGACTGACTTCACTTAGATTTGTAACTTTAATTTCTTTCTTATTGATTTTTCTTTTCTTCAACTAATTAGAAAGCCGGTGGTGAACTGTGTGGATGTATGTTTGAGGAGGGGCTAACGAGCTCCGACAGGAGCAGGGCCCGAGTTCCTGTGTATGTAGATAAGCTCTGATGGCTTTTTACATTATTTTCTTTTTTTATATGTATTTACTTTTCAGTTTCTTCCAGTGCACAGCGGGGAGTCCCTCTCCTACTCCTCAGCGGGCAGATACCCGACGCCACGGGCTGCCTGTGGAGCTGTGCTGTAGCGCTGCTTCAGCGCCCCGGGGGTCGGGATGAGGATGATGATGGCACTTACACGAACACTTCTCAGGTATTTCCCTAAAATTAACCCAGAAGCCCTGGAGGAGCCCAGTTACATCACTGCTGTTTCTGAAGCGCTGTGTTGGCCCTCCGGCGTGCGAATGGCGGGGAAAGCAGCTTTCCCGTGGCGTGGAGCCACTGGCGGCCAGGTGGAGCGTTGCTGTGCGCAGAGGGAAGAGAGGAGCTGGCGGGAGGGCTGGAGAGAAGCTCTGCCTTAGGGATGGCATTTTGCAGAGGTGCCATCCTTTACTTCCCGTAGCAAATTTTCGTGGGATTCGCTGGAGTTTGTGGTTAAGATTATAAAACGTGTTTTCTTTTTAGTTAGTTATGCAATAGTAGGAGGCATATTCTTTTGGTGAATTGGCTGTTGCTGGCAGAAGGAAGGGAATCTGTTCAACCTATAAAGAAATCACTGTTCTTCCTCTTTTTCAAACTTGCATCTCCTCAAACACAGCTGCAAGCTGGAGCAGCAGAGTTTGCTGTGGGGCATTAATTTCCTAGCTTTATAATGAACAGCAAACCCAATTATTCTGCTTTTAGGGCATGTTTAGAGGAAGTTCGTTTCTGTTCTGGTGCTGATTTGAAGCTGGGCGAGGTAAAGAGCACCTGGAAGTGTGCCGGTGTGAGGTCGGTGGTGAGTTAGCCGAGATGCCCTGTGCTGGGGAAAGTTTGGAAATTCCCAGAGGGATCGCTTTTTAGTAATTCTGATGAATGCTCTCCTGATAGAAAGCAGGAAAGCAGAGGGGTTGGAAGAAGGTTAGAGAGGGCATGTGGAACTGGGGGTGTTTTTGATGGGGTTTGGGGAATATCCCGTGGTGTGGGATGAGGAGATAGCACAGCAATTACTGAATTAGTATTACATTTTAGAGAATCTTTTTAGACAGAGGACTTCTCAACAAGAACTTCGGTTTCCTGCCAAACTAACAAGATCTTTAGGAGGGAGGGAAAAGCTTTCAGTAAGTGCTCTTGATGGGGAGGAATTTGAAAAATGGAGCTGGGGGCCACTTGTTGGAAGCTGAGAATTGATTTCATTACAGTATTAATACTTAGAAATAATTAAAGAGGAGAACTAAACTCCAGGATCAAGTGTTTAATTGTACCGCCCTTTATTTCAGCTTTTCAGCACCTTTTTTCGTCCCCCGATACAGCTTCTGTTGTATTTACCGTGCGTCGGGTTTTTTTCCTGAGAAGTTTACTCTTCCTTTAAGAGCAGGGCTCTGAAGGGCAAGGTCTGTAGTTGATTTTAGGGGAAAGACGGCCCAGAGGGATGTCCTGCTCCCGTGCAATTTTCCCATCCTTACATGAAAGCAGAAGTTGGTCCTCCGTGCAGCCGAACAGCTCGGGGAGCTGCTGGGCTCTTGCTGGGGATGAGTCGAATGAGCTGAAATTCAGCAGTTAATTGGAAGGCAAGTGTGATGGGAATTGCCAGGGGTCCCGGTTGCTGTTGAAAAAAAGGCGAAGGATTTTGGGACTGCCCTGCTGTAATGGAGAGACCGTGGCAGTGTTAAATTATCGCATCGATGAAAGATGCTTAGTAGAAAATTAGGATAGCGGAGCAGCTAGGAGCACAGGGAGAGAGAGAGGATGCTCTAATTGCAGGTCTAATTGCAACAACAGGCAAGGATCAACCCCGTCCCTTTGCTAAACGTTCTAGTCTGCGCTCTAGACAAGGATTCTGCAGTAAATGGGGGATGAAAGTCATCTCCTGAGCAAAGGCAGCCTGCATTATGGAGCGTGCACTGGGCAGACTGGGGGATGTGGGTCTGTGTTAAGGGGGAGGCGGAGGATGGAGCGACCCTGCCCTGCTGCCTGTCTGCCAGACGAGTTCAGGGCAAGGCAGGGCTGGGGTGCCTGGGTTTGCGGTTTCTCCTTCTGCAGTAACATGGAAGTATTTCTTTTCATGTGCCTGTCAGATGAATAATTCTTTCTAAACTATGGCAAAGCTGTTCTGTCCTTGGAAGAGTATTTCTCTTCACCCAGACCCGATCAAGGAGCTAGTAACAGCTTCTAGTACTATTTATGTTAAAACCTGGTTTTCTTTATTATTTTATTACCTGTGTTTCTTCAGCCTCAGGCTGTGTTTTGGTCTTGCGGTCCTTTACCTGCTGACCAGCCCACCCGTCTTGGCTGACCTTTCAGTCCGTGACGTGCTCTGAACACACGCTGTACCTCCGGCAGTGCCCCCTCATCTTATTTTCACACCTTGAATTTGAAAGTTCTTTCCCTTCTCCACCCATACGCTCACGATCCACGTTCAGTCTTTGACCTTCAGATTGTGAAGGAGGAGATAACCTTTGTACACCGCTCGCTCGGCTGAGTAGTGAGCGTCACCTTCACTCTCTGACATACAGCCTGTTTGTGGAAGAAGAAGAGTGTGGCCAGCGGGGGGAGGGGGGTCATCCTCCCCCTCTGCTCTGCCCTGGGGAGGTGTGCTGGAGCGCTGTGTCTGGTTCGGGGCTCCCCAGGGCAAGAAGGACAGGGAACTGCTGGAGAGGGAACAGCAGAGGGCTACGCAGATGCTCAGGGGACTGGAGCATCTTTCTTACAAGGAAAGGCTGAGGGACGAGGGGGTGTTCAGTCTGGAGAAGAGAAGACTGAGGGGGGATCTTATCAATGCTTATAAATATGTAAAGGGAGGTGCCAGGGGGATGGGAACAGTCTGTTTCCAGTGGTGCCCAGTGACAGGACAAGAGGGAACGGGCACAAACGTGACCATAGGAAGTTCCATCTCCACCTGAGGAGGGCCTTCTCTGCCGTGAGGGCGGCAGAGCAGTGGCAGAGGCTGCCCAGAGAGGTGGGGGAGTCTCCCCCTCTGGAGCCATCCCAAACCCGCCTGGACGCCGTCCTGTGCCACTGCTGGAGGTGCCCCTGCTCTGGTGGGGGGTGGGATGGGGGAGCTCCAGAGGGCCCTTCCAGCCCTCACCAGTCTGGGATTCTGGGATTCGCTGGGGGGTGAGGGGAAAGGACATTTTTCTCGTACCCTGGCAATTCCTGCTTTCCCCCAGCGAAGCATTTTGGCGTGGCCAGGCTGGCTCTGTGAGGTGCCCCGAGTTCAGCGTAGTGGCAGTGACCCGCTCTGGATGTGAACTGCACAGCTATAAAGCTGAGTGATCTTCTAATAACATTTTGAATTTTTGCGGTGGGATTCACTGGAGGGAACTGGTCTGTCCAGAGCACTCGGGCATCTCTGCAAGAGGGAGAGGTAGCGCACTCCAGCAGTGGAGGGAGGCAGCACCGTCAGGTTTCCTCAGAGTTTTTGCTCTCTGGGTTTATGCCGGGGCCTTGGCCGCTTGGGCCCTGCTCTGTAGCCTCGCACACACCAAGGTTCTTCCGTGTAGTCAAAAGATAAAACACTTTGTCGGCTCGCTAATCCCTGCATGCATATTGCGCTGGAAACGGTAATCTCCTTAAAACACACCCGACTTTTTGAAATTTTCAGCCTTTTGTCCCCATTTTTCGTCTCCGTCAGTGCCATGGAGGTGGGCGGTCGCTGCTGTCTGAAGTTGGGAACGCGGTAGGACACACTTCAACCAGGGGCCCACTCAGAAAGTTTCACCTTTAGCTTTCAGCCTGAGCTTTATACTCGGGAGTGCGAACGCTCTCGGGGAGGGGAGAGGGATCCTTCTTTTTGTCTTTCTCTGCAAACGCTTGGTTGTAATTACCAGCAAAGAGTGGAGTGAGCCAAACACATTGTCTGGGAGATATTAACCTCTGAGAAAATATTTATCATAAACACTGAGTGTTGCAGTGTTTAACGAGTGATAAGTCACATACCATTTAGAGGATATTTGCTCTCAGCCGCTTTGTTCGTTGTCAAATCTGTTTCATTTCTGTTGTGACAATTCTGTTCCTTCAGTGCTGGAACTCTTTGGCAGGAAAAACGTCAAGTACTACACTAAATATTTCCCTGAAGAAACCCATTCAGCCATGTTGAATGAGAATAATGGCTCCAAGAAGAAGGCAGACTGTTTTCAGTTGCCATCTGCTTGTTAGAGTGTATGCATGTTGCTTTCCTGCAAGGGATATGTGGTTTTATATACACAAGTAAGTCCAATTTTTCCGTTTTCAGAGCAGCAACATTTCTGTTATTAGGACTGTGTGTTCACATCTGTGGCTCGATGCCGATACGGAGACGATGAGTATATATCCATTGGGTTTCTTTGCCATATAAAAGAACGATGAGCAAAAACGTGGAATATTGTTCTGGGAAACCCTCTCCTCAGAGTGTGGTCGGGGATGTTATCCCTAACGGTGGTTTCTCTTCTTCCTGGCAGGAGCGGGACGGGATGCGGGCAATTCTGGAGTCGTACGACAGCGAGCTGACCCCTTCGGAGCACTCGCCCCAGCTGAGCCGGCGTATGCGTGAGGCCGAGGAGATGGTGCAGAAGCTGCACGCTCATAACACCGAGCTGGAGGTAATAAAGAAACATCATCCTCCAACCCCAGGGGTGAAGTAGTTGAGACCTTTAAGATTGAATTGCCTGGTGATGTGATCTGCTCGCGCAGAAAACAGATTTGCAAAATGCGGAGTAAAATTCCAGGATCAGTAAGACCCACAAGTTATTATTCTGCAGCTGAAGCTGGCAGGAGCCAAGAGTAATTGTCTGTGGGTGTGAGGAGTCTGCCTTGTACGGCAGGGCTGTACGCAGGGCTGGAGGGACAGCCGGTCCCCGCGGGGTAAAGGAGAAGTAAAGGGGCGGTGAAGTGGAGCAGGTGAGGTGTCTTCTCGGTGGTGTAGTCTGTGATTCAGTACACCGCACGTGTAGCAAGGCTCTTCTGTGCACAGGGTGAGCGTGTGTGTGTTTGTAAGAGCGTCACTCTAAGGGCTGAAGAAGTAAAGTACGTGTCAGCTGTTAATTCTTCCCTTCTTGGCACTGGGCCTGAAAACCCCAGAATACCAGTAACTCTGTTAAATGCTTTTTATTAGGTTTTCTCTAAGAAAAAACATCCTTTCCAAAGATAGAAGTATTTCTTGAAGGGATTCTCTCATTATTTTCAGTTCCTTTTTGAAAATTCGTAATCTGAAATGTGACTGTAACGAGGCAAACATTAACATGCATTTGCCAAGTAGTTCCCCTCTTCTCCGTTGTGCTTTGTCATAGCGGAATGGGCTTTACGGTCATGAGTTGAAATATTTGGAATATGTCTGTGATCTTAAAGCTTGGCATTTTTATTACATAGGCTTTCCAGTAATCCTAAGTGTGTGAGTTTTCCTTTCTTCACATCAAGTTCCACCATCATATAGATTTATAGATGTCATAATTCAAATGGGGTAAAACTTGTAGAAATTGATGCTGCTTGGTTCACGTTCAAGCCGTAGAGTGGATTGTCCCGCTGTGCACAAACCTCTTTCTTGCTTCTGGCATCCATAAAAATGCTCTTTTCTTGTGTTGGTCGGTGGGGACTTAAGTCAGGCGATACTGGCTCCAGTGGCCTTTGGCATAGTGTGGTGCAGATCACTATTATGGCATGGATCCCCTTTGTCCCTCTTTCTCTGTGAAGGTTTCGGCAAGTTGATGGAGAAGTTAGCTGGTTAACATCAGATGAAAGGGAAATTTGCCCGAATTGGGCTGTCGGAATGTTTCCCTCTGTTGTCTTTTGATCACGGTCCTGCTTACCACCGGACAGAGCGGGATTAGCCCTCGCTGACATAAAGCGATAGGTGGCTGTTTTATCCCGTTTGCTACGTTGTTTCCGACGGTGGCTCGGGGTTGTTGGTGGGAGATTTCCTGAATTGTTTCACTGAATAGGTCAAATGTGCATTGTGTCTTTGAGCAATAGCAAATTACCTTTTCTTCTTCAGGGGAAAGCATGGAAGAGTGTGGGAACCGATTGCTACACCCCTTTATTTATAGAAAACAAATTATGGGTTTGCTTTCATGGATATGGATTAAGGGCTACATGGAAAATTTCAGAAAGGAGCTGTGTTCTCTGGAGGTTTGTTTTGTGTGATGTCAACCTTTAAGCCTTTCAAAGACTTTGCTAGAAGCAGGATTCAAAGACCCGATATTCCTCTTGTAAAGTAAAAATTTACGCTTCGCTTGTTTGTGTTTGCCTTTCTGATTGCAGTAATCACTGCCGAATCTCATCCGTTTAGAAATTTTGGGGGAAAGTTTTTTGTTGTAGTGAAAATCTGAAAACTGGAGAGGGAAATTGAGGTAGAGGCAGGACTCCTGGTGTCTCGTCATCGGGAGCAGCAGCTGTAATCAACTGCCTGTAGATCAAAGAACTGGTCGATAGCAGCTATTAATAACTTCTAACATAACGCTCTGCACCCTCCCGGCTCTGCTGAGCCTCTGTACAAATTTTAGAAATGTTGACACCTGCGTGACTCATCTCACAAATAGAGGAGACGGCAGAAATGAAGCACCTTGGAGCCTCGGTCGTTTCTGAGATGTGGCAGAAACGGTCTTTGAGGTGGGGGTGTGGGGAGGGAGGGAAAAGGGGAACTTCCACCCGTTTTAAGTCGAAGTGTGGCAGAAGGGTCGGGGCATCCCCAGAACGCCTGGTGCGGACGGGCTTGGGAGGGCAGCGCGCCACCAGCTTGTGGAGCAGCAGAGAATGAGAAGAGCCCCTCTGAGAGCATCACCCACAGGGCGGCAAACCAACAAAGTTGGTTAAAGTGTGGAAAACAATTAAGATCACTGGTTAACGGAGGATACGCCACTGCAGGTAACCACAGGTCCGAGGAGTGCTCCTGGCAGCGCAGCGTACACTGGGAACGCCGGGCGGTTGTTAGGGGAACAGCCCTTGCGCGGTGCCTGTGCGCTGCTCCTCCGCTGGGAGACTGCGGGTATCGCTGTGCTCCACGAGCATCCCGGGTTTGAAAAAGCCCTTAGAGCTTCTAAAGCAAAGGCACCCTCTCGCATTATGTTTTATAGCTTCTGCCTTTCAACTTTTTTCACAAACCTTTGACTTCACACCATTTCTCTCCTCCCTGACTTGTTTTATCACAGTTTTTTTTTTCTTGATTTGCTACCAGGTACGTAATTTACCAAAATCTCTTCCTGTGCTCCCTAGTAGAGAGCCCTTTGATACTTCTTTTTTTTTTTTTTTTTCTGGCTGCCCTAATCTATCACCAGCAGCCCCGCCTCTGAACCCGCCATAGAGGGGAAACAGTGATGTTCTTAATAGTGTTTTTTTGTTACTCTAAAAATGGAGATTTTCCCTCCCATTCCAGCGGCAGCGCTGTGTGAGGCAGGGAGCTCGCTGGTGAAGATGGAGTGATAGGGATAATGTGGTAGGAAAGAGGAGGAAGCCGCGTGGAACTAGGAAGATTTTGGGCTGAGGCAACAGCTTTTAACTCATTAGGGAGATGAGTTTTCAGATAAGTCCTTTGCTGGATGTATAAATGGAGGTGGGAAGCTGTTTAAAAGAACAGAGGGAACGAGAGAGTGTAAGCCCTGGAGGGTTGCGTGGGAGTAGTTTATTAATGCGTGCTGGGAGGATGGATTTAGGTGGTACACTGAGTCCTGCCTGAGTCCCTCCTGCCCGACCCTCGCTGGGCAGGAGAGCTGCTGCCTCTGCGTCGCAGACGTCGCCGGGATGACAGGCACCTTTCCAGAAATGGGAATACAGAAGGATGCTTTCATCCCGGGTCACTTCAGACAGGCAGCGTCGCTGCGTAAGAATTAGTCCCGTCAGAGCCTGATGGGGCAGAGGGACTGGGAGACAAAGAAAGGCTGATGGGGAACTTTTTAAATCCCCTTCATTGATGACTGATGAGAAAAGCTGGATCTCCGATGCACAGCCATGCAAACACGTGGCCTGTTGTGGGACTGAAAATGATGGCTGTCTCCTCCCCAGGACTGCTTGCCCCCAGCCCGCCCCCGGCTCCCCAGTGCCCGGCTGCCTGGAGAGCTTCAGGAACGCACCTCACAGAGTACTGAGTGTAAAGCAAAGGGCAGAGGCAGAGAGAAATGCCGTCTGAAATGGTGGCTGGAAAAGCAAGCGGGCTGTGTCAGCCTATTTCACGTGGTTAATGAAGTGTCGCTCACCGTCTTTTTAAAAGTGTGTTTTGGAACTGAAGAGGGAATGAGTTTGTCCCTGGCCAGCCTGCTATAAATACTTAAAATAAACAGTCTTGGGGCTGTGTTTATATCATGGCATGATTTTTTGTTTCGATACTGGTGATATCAACAGTTTTCTTGTCAATCTTGGTTAACTTTTACTGCCTTAGCTTCCATTACTTTTGATTTCAAGGTAAATACGACAAAACAAGAAGCTTCTGTGCATGCAGCAGCTACTGTGAAAAAGCTCTGATGCGAGTTCAGTGTTTGAAAAGTTAAATCCAGCTGCACCAAAGAGAAATCATCATAAATATAACTCCATTAATAGCGATTTTATTACAACACACTTGGCTCCATATGAAACTTTAATGAAGAGAGATTTGCAAGGAAGACTCATGCTGACACCTTCAATGGTCTCCAGCATTTTTTACATTGAGAGATTTACACTGTCTGTGAGCACCATATGTACTCTAATCAGTTAATTATGAGTCTGACAGTTTCAGCACATGAAATGCCATATGTTCTGTGTTTTTGTTCCACCGCGGGCATTACTGGTGACCTCAAAACTCATTGACCAAATATTGTCACCTTATCTGCACCTGATAACTGCAGCGCATCTGCTGGCAGTGAAAATTGGGCATTGCTGATTCTTGTGATGTTAGTCACAAATCTGCTCCTTGCAAAGGGAGTTACTTAGCAGTCACCCCAGTGTTTAAAGTGCTTAAAATTTACGTGTGGATGCAATAAAATGTTTATTTGAGCAGTTAACAGTTCCTCCTTGTCTCTCACCCAGCTTCCCCCATCAGTGCTTTTCCACTTTTTTACCTTCTGGGGGTTTTTTTCTCTCTTTGATCCACACTTTATATTTATCTTGCTTTATCCCTCCTCTGCCGAATTTCCTCTCCCCCTCAAAGGTAAATTGCTTCTTTACGTAGCAGAAGGGGTTTCTGTGATGATGGGAACTTTACAGAGAAATTTCCTCCCATCTGTGCAAGGTACAGAAGAGTTGGGTTTAATTTGCAGATTCCTTCTGCCTGCTTTCTCTGCCTCTCTGCTGCCATCCAACCTTTGTGCGCTGTTTTTTCTCAGTGACAACTGTAAGAAACAGTGAGAAGATTACTCTGCTCACTTCAAATGTCCATAAGGAGCAAATCCGAGTCACTAGAGCTTTCCTGCCACTCCAGAATGGCATATATTTCACTTGCCCGGACTTCTGCTGTCATTGTAGCATCTTATCTGTGACTCATGCGGGAAAAAACAGACTCTCTCTGGAGATGATGCTAATGTGCTCCATGCATCAGCTCCCACTGATTGCTGAAGCAGTCACAGGGCTGGACATCATCTTCTGACAAAGCAAACACCTTGTCGAAATAGCATTTTGAACCTGGACGCTTTGGCATCTCTTG